AAACATTTAACAAAAAAAAAATAACATAAAATGAAGAAATTAGTGGTCTTCAAAAAAACCCAGATCCTTTACCAATTAAAAGTTTCACTGCACCTTTTTTTCCTCATGAACTTCAAAAGCAGTGAAGAACTGAGAAAGTTCTTTTTTGAAGATGAACAAGTTTGGAGTAGTTTTGAAGAATCTTGTTTTATGAATAAAGAATCTTTCCAACAATATAATACTATGAGTAAAAGATCAAGCGTATCATCATTTAGGACAACACCAAAGATCATAAAGGAAGTAAAAAAAAAAATATTTGTACATAACCAAACTTGCAAGTCAACTCCAAAATGTCTGGGAAAAGTAGCAAGAGAAGAACAATATAATAATATAGAATTTTAAAATGCTTTTTTTAAGTATTAATAGTCATAAATGTAATTGCTGGTAGAGAATACCATATCATGACCGTAAACAGTATTCTAGGCTTGCAATATCAGATTCTTACCTGCCGGTATCTTTTTCTTAGTGTCTTTTGTTTGTAGTTTGTTTGCCTCTCGAAAAAAGAATATGGCTATAGAATAGATCTACTAAAATATTTTCTAACGCTTTTAATGTGGTTTGACTAGTTCGTGTTTCTTGTTTGTCTCTTGGAAAAAGCTCACTCCAAATCTGTTAAAATATAAAGCAACAACACACAACAGCGTGTTCATGGAGGCAGCCATGTTTGTTCCGAGATGCGGTTACTCGTGACATCACGCACCTCGGAATTTCCGACTTCCGAGAGAATTCCGGATATACGTCTTGCTGATGTTTATGTGGTACCCGGAAATTGTTTCCACGTTGGTGGCGTGGTTTTGCGGCTGTTTAAGGCAGCGTGGGCAAAGTAGTGGAGTGGTGTACGATAGAGACGGGGTTCAGTACCGCAACATCAGCTGGCAACCGCCAGTGACATCACTGGCACCCGGAAACGGCAGGTAGCGGCAGCTGACACTAACGACTTCTGCCTGTCGCTAGTGGTGCTTAACAGTGGCAGGTGCCATTCGGATACAGTGCCTGCCGCCGTAGAGAGGCACCTATCAACCGCTCCTGGAAGTAAACCAGAGATTCTGTTCATCAGCTATGCTAGAGAGGAATACGAAAATAAATAGAGCCCTTGTGTGATATTTGTATTAATGTGTAATGTTTGAAAGAATGATGTTATTGTTGCTGATTGTAAATCTCTTTAAGATCATATGTCAGCATATTTATTAAACATTTGAGAAAACAATGATTGTACTGTTGTTTTTGTATTATATGTATTCATTGCGACTAATGTAAGACCCAAATACAGAAAAGAAGACATGTTTTAACCTGTCAGATATTGATGTAGAAGACCTCTGATGCAAATAATGTAATATTTTTTCTTGTATTATGTTTTAGTAAATTTTTAGGGATACGTGATATTGCGACGTTGAGCCTACACTGAATCAATGATTTGGGACCATCTTAAGTTCTAAATAAATTACTTTACTGTGTTTAATAAAATATTCTCAAAATTGACTGCATATAAAATTAATTTTAATAAATCTAATATAAAAATGGCAGTATTGCCATTGCCATCCATAAAACAGATGTGCAATTTTTATGCATTACCAATTAATTTAAATTATTATACATTCAAAACAATATGTATGATACAGAACCCAAACTAAATTTGCACAGCTGAATTACATATGTTTCATTCTTGTAACAATGAAGTTGGACTTATCTTTTGTCCTTCAAAATTTCTAAAACATGTAGAACAACAAATTCAAAATTTACACAAAACTTTTAATGATACCACTTTGATAAAGCAAGGCATCTTCAAAGGAAACATTTCAAGTTAAAGCCTTACGTGTCTTTAGTATGAGAAGCTGGGCTGAAAAGAAAAAATATTTATAATGAGTATTAATACTGTACTGTACCTAAGATTATTTATATTGAATGTATTAATGGAAAATATATCAAATTAAAGGAACAATGATGATTGTGGAAAAAAAAAAACATACACTGAGTGTCTCCTCTTTACTGAAGAACCATCCATTAATCTGAAAGGCAATAAAATAGATATATGTGAATATTAGACCTAAGGCATGGATGTTACACAGCTGGGGGCAGTCAGTTGACAAACATTTTTCATTGACTTTGGCTGCACATTATAATTAATCATATTAAACTGGGTTCTGTTCTATCTCCACATAAGAACACACACCCAGACCCTGATGCTTGGCTCCACAGCGTCTTCAAGCCCTTTCAAAGAACGACAATTGTGGAAAAAATCCAGACGTACCGTCTTTGTCCTTCCTTTACTGAAGAACGATCTGGCAATCTGAAAGAAAAGGGTGTCACTACGTTTTCAATATTGGGGGTGACAGGGACAGAGCTATTAAGTGACTGAGTCAAATCCGTCCTGTATGATGTCAGAACACACATCCAGACACTGATGTTTGACCCCACATGATCTTCTAGCCCTTTCCAAGCACTGACACCCCCACTGTTTTCCTAGACTGGTTTTCTGAATGGGCATCTTGTACTTGTTCCTTCCAAATTGTTTTATAATATCTATTTCCACTCACATGAAAATATTCCACACACCTAAATTTCAGGCTGTCAAATACCATGCAGCTTCTAAGAGGTCACTTGAGTGCTATTCATGTAATCAGGCATGATTTACAGGAAACATGAAGATAAAGCCTTACTTTTTTTAGGGATAGGCCGATCCACATTTTTTCAGTTCCGATCCAATTCCGATACACAACTGCCGATACCGATACAGATTCCGATACAAGAGCTTTTTACTTTGTTATACTTTATATATTATTTTTTTTAAGCTAGTAAATAGATGGAAAAAAATGTATGACAAAAAATATTTAATTAGGCTACTACACACATACATAACGTACTGTTCCACCTTGTTTGTACATCGTGTTTTAAGCATTTTTGCGGCATTTGCAGTTCAGTATGAATATCTTAAAAGCAAGTATACACAAGTGCTGAATGCTTAATTTTAAACACAATTTTTCTCCCATTGGCATCAGCTCAGTTACACTTTGTTGCGATGGCAGCCCCTCTTGTTTCAGAAGCTGCAGCGAGTTCACAAAACAGTCCAATTTAGTGACCAAATCATCCATTGCTTTTTTGTGTCTCGCTCAGTTGCATGCACTTTGTTAAGTGGGATAGTCCATTAAACGCTATTCCCACCTCTCAAAACTTTATTTTACAAAGATTGCAAATTGCTGTTCTACTGGTATCTGTTAAAAGCGTAAAATACTCCCAGATCGTCAAGTCTTATCTTACGCTCCTCGTACTCGAAGGTTATGTGCTTGACGTCACAGCAGGCGGAAGTCACTGTACTCACACCCACTGAGCAGCAAAAAAGACTGAGGGGCAGCGTTAGCGTTCAATTTGAATGCCGCAAAAAAAAAAACATGTAAAATGGGAAAGAGCTGTCGTGGGATTGATTGTACAAATAGATTTAACACGAAATAGGAGCTATCCTTTTAGAGATTGCCAAAAACGAAATAAGTAAGTATAGGACTTGGATCGGTCACGCATGGCCGATACCTGATCCGTCAAATAGGTCTGGATCGGCGCAGATAACGATACGAATATCGGATCGGTGCATCTCTACTTTTTTACACTGGAAAATCTTGTGGGCTTAAAAGCAATTGACAAATTGGTCATATAATAGTCAAGGGTTAAGACCTTGGCTGTCCAGTGAGTGACAACTTCCACCACAATCAATCCATGACTGAATTCCAGGTTCCAAGTTGGAGAAATCGAGGAACTGACTGCATTGCTTAGCCAAGCAGACTAAAGCCAAATTAGAATAGGATAGAACTTGGGTCTGAAAGCACTCATTTGTGATTTGGTCCCCACATTGCAGCCCCCCCCCCCCCCCCCCCCCCCCCCCCCCCCCAAAGTTCTTATAGGCAGACCCCAGGTGGTAAAGGTGGGATCATGTATTTTGGCTCCCATCACCCTGAATATTGGTGCCCCTACAAGGCTGTATTCTGAGCCTGCTGCTGCACTCTTTGTGTACATATGACCGTGTGGCCAAACACAGCTAAAATAAAACAGTCAAATTTGCAGGTCACATAATAGTAATTGGCCTGATATTCAATAACTACAAGGCGGCCTACCTGGATGAGGGAGACAATCTGAGGTTGTCTCTCACTCAACACCTCAAAGACTAAAGAGATCATGGTGGACGTTAGGCATAAGCACATCAGTGCACACAACTCTCTGAACATCAATGGGGTCCCAGTTGAGTTGCGAATACATATCTGGCAGTCTATATCTCTGATGACCTCACCTGGTCGATTCATGTAAAGACTCAGTAATCTACAGCCAGGTATTGGCTGTACCATCTTAGGCAGCTGTGGAGGTTCAACGTCTCTCTAACCCAGGGGTGGCCAATCTTATCCGCAAAGGGCCGCTGTGTATGCGGGTTTTCGCTGCAACTCCCTAATTAGAGGACTGATTAGAGGACTGATTGGCTGAGTCCTCACACCTGGGTTTGAACAGCTGACTTATAGATTATCCCAAAAACAGGTAAGATTGGCCACCCTTGCTCTAACCATTCTCAGAGCCTTCTACTCTTCAGTGTTAGAATGTATCCTCACCACCGGAACCACATCCTGGTTTGGTAACTGCTCTGTCCTGGACAGCAAAGCTCTGCAGAGGGTGGTACGTTCAGCTGAACGCATCAGCAAGGCTGAGCTGCCTCAAGCGATGCATTAGCAGAGCTGCCAAAATCAGCAGGGACACATCCCTCCCAAACAACTACCTCTTTACCAGGCTGATGTATGGAAAGTGCTTCTGGTGTCTCTCAGTGAGACCTGAGAGCCTTGGAAGGAGCTTCTACCTTCAATGCATCAACCTACTTAACAGCTGCAATTAAACATTTGCTCCTTTCTCATGCACCAATCACTTTAATGGAGCAACGTTGCACATATCTAGTTTTCCGTTACTGTTCCTTATTTGTTATATATTTATTTACTGGTACATTAGGTCTTATTTCTTTTCACTAGTTCTTATTATGGCAGAGTCGACCACCTTGCATTTCAATGCAGGCCATAGTTGAACTGTATATCTTGCATGTGACAAATAGCCTTGAGTCCTTGACACTCTTTAGCTCTCAAATGTGTCACCTTCAGCAAAAGTACTAAATGTAATTATTAACAAAGTAGCACAAACTGTAGGTTTCTCAAAAATAGAAAAACATTGAGAAATTTAACTGAAATTAAATTAGCATTCATAGATTTCTGACCTCAAACAATATAAACTTATCTATCAATGATCATAAGCTCCAAAACGGTAAAATATGGAAAATAGCAAATGCTTTCATAAAACTTTGTCACTTTTCTCCAGAAAGACATTTTCACAGATGATTTCAAATTAAGCCTTACGTGATTTGCACAGAAAAAGACCTGAAAAGAATGTAGATAGAGAGTTATTAGTACTGTGCTGTCGCTGTTGTTTCCTACCACTTATAACAAAATTGAGAAAAAAAATACACACACACACACACGTTTGTATCCATATCTTTGTGGGGACCATCCAATCATTTCTATGGGAAAAATCCTAATCCCAGCAATGAGATCCTTAACCCTTACCCAGCCCTAACCTTAACCATAAGTAAAGGAGACTTGACATTTTTAAGTTTTTGATTGCAGTCACAGATTTTTATAAAATTGAGTTTCCCCTTGCAGGGACTGAACAAACAGTCCACATACTGTCAAATTAACATGTTTTTATCACATTGTGGGGACATTTCACTCACACATACACACACATCTACACTCACATTTATTTAAAAGTGCGATAACAATTGTGGAAAAAATGAAGACATACCGTGATTCACGTCTCCTTATTGAAGATCCATCAAGCAATCTGAAAGGTAATAAAACATATGAAC